TATCGGGTATATCTGTGACATGAAAAAAAAAATGACCATTTTATTCATGTAATGAAAAATAAAATGATCATTATAATACCCATTAAAAAAATAGATTGCCACCCACTCCATCATTAAATAAAAAATTACTATTATTCTGACCAGTGTAAAAATAGTGGTCATTATAACTACCAGTTTGAAAATACTGGCCAATATTTTGACCATTAAAAAATTTCTGGTTGGTATTCTGGCCATTAAAAAAATAGTGGCCATTGCAATGGCCAGAAGTGACTTTTCAAAGGGGTCTGAGGGGTGAAAAAACAGAGTTAAAGTGAAATGAAAAATTATTATAACCTCCTCACTAGCCTAAAAGTATGAATAAATATTCAAAAGTTGTGAAAATTAAATCTTTCCGAAACGCGACGGAATTTCCGAAAGTTATCCGGACGCTGTTTTAGGTAATTAACGAGCATGGATTTTTACCAAAACCTAATCAAATCTGCGCATTGGCCCAGAGCATCTATGCACCAAGTTTCATCAAAAACCGATGTATGGTTCTTGAGATAGCAGTGGAACAGTCGGACACACATACACACACACATACACACATACACACATACACACATACACACATACAGACACACTAACTGCAAAGACTCCCATTTTGTGCTTCGCACATGGGAGTCAAAAAATCATTAGCAACTTTGGTTATGTAATCATTAGTCATTTAAAACGGCAAACTTTACAAAAATAGTATTTTGAATGGTATCTGACTACATATGAAATGATGATGTGAACATTTCTTATAATTGGAAAGTGTGGTCATACTTTGTGGTTAATATCAGTTTTCACATTTAACCTAATTAGAAATATTATTGTGATAAACTGTTGACTGGAATTACACAATAAGCTGGGAAAAAATGGTTCTTACTTGCTGTAAAACTTTATCTGCAAACACCTCTTGAAGTTTGGCTATTTCAACAACTTTTCCTTCAATTTGTCTATAAGAAACACAATAATATTGTTTATCACAAATATGGCATGGGAGGCTTTGGTCTAACACAAATATGGCATGGAAGGCTGTGGTCTATCACAAATATGGCATGGAAGGCTGTGGTCTAACACAAACACGGCATGGGAGGCTTTGGTCTAACACAAATATGGCATGGAAGGCTGTGGTCTAACATAAATATGGCATGGAAGGCTGTGGTCTATCACAAATATGGCATGGAAGGCTGTGGTCTAACACAAATATGGCATGGAAGGCTGTGGTCTATCACAAATATGGCATGGAAGGCTGTGGTCTAACACAAATATGACATGGAAGGCTGTGATCTAACATAAATATGGCATGGAAGGCTGTGGTCTAACATAAATATGGCATGGAAGGCTTTGGTCTAACATAAATATGGCATGGAAGGCTGTGATCTAACATAAATATGGCATGGAAGGCTGTGGTCTAACACAAACATGGCATGGAAGGCTGTGGTCTATCACAAATATGGCATGGAAGGCTGTGGTCTATCACAAATATGGCATGGAAGGCTTTGGTCTAACATAAATATGGCATGGAAGGCTGTGGTCTATCACAAATATGGCATGGAAGGCTTTGGTCTAACACAAATATGGCATGGAAGGCTGTGGTCTATCACAAATATGGTATGGAAGGCTTTGGTCTAACACAAATATGGCATGGAAGGCTGTGGTCTATCACAAATATGGCATGGAAGGCTGTGGTCTATCACAAATATGGCATGGAAGGCTGTGGTCTAACACAAATATGGCATGGAAGGCTGTGGTCTATCACAAATATGGCATGGAAGGTTGTAGTCTCATACAAATATGGTATAGAAGGCTGTGGTCTAACACAAATATGGCATGGAAGGCTGTGGCCTCTTACAAATATGGCATGGAAGGCTGTGGTCTATCACAAATATGGCAAGGAAGGCTGTGGTCTAACACAAATATGGCATGGAAGGCTGTGGTCTATCACAAATATGGCATGGAAGGCTGTGGTCTAACACAAATATGGCAGGAAAGGCTGTGGTCTAACACAAATATGGCATGGAAGGCTGTAGTCTAACACAAATATGGCATGGAAGGCTGTGGTTTAACAAATATGGTATAGAAGGCTGTGGTCTAACACAAATATGGCATGAAAGGCTGTGGTCTATCACAAATATGGCATGGAAGGCTGTGGTCTCTCACAAAAATGTGGCATGGAAGGCTGTGGTCTCTCACAAAAATGTGGCATGGAAGGCTGTGGTCTAACACAAATATGGCATGGAAGGCTGTGGTCTATCACAAATATGGCATGGAAGGCTGTGGTCTAACACAAATATGGCATGAAAGGCTGTGGTCTAACACAAATATGGCATGAAAGGCTGTGGTCTAACACAAATATGGCATGAAAGGCTATGGTCTAACACAAATATGGTATGGAAGTCTGTGGTCACAGACAATGACCTAATCTGGTGAAGAATCCTTCCAAAAAACCCTGGTTCCTTGGCAATCAAACCAACATCTCTGCAGTTAATTTCATAAAAACTTGTTCCTTCTGCTGACAGACAAACAAACCAAGCTGTCAAAAACATTAGCTTTTACACTGTCTTATTTAGTGAACTTTTTAATGAAAAGAAAAAGAAACTTACTTTACTTCATCCACTAGACTATTCATTTCATTAAAAAGCATTTGATTTTCTTGTTCAAACTGTAAATAATATAAAATACACAGATTTTACAATACTCTCGATTTTACATCAAAAGAAGCATTTGACAGAACACCATGCATTAATATATATAGGGAGATACTGATGTTGGATATTGATAGAAGTGCAAGGCTAACCCCAAAACCAATTAAATTTTAACAATAAATCTTTAAAATATTTGAGAGGTTACTTATTTGGGCTTACTTATCATGTTTTCCGTGAATTTGTTATTTATTATTTGAGAATTAAGAATAACTGTTACCATTAAAATTTCATCAGGTGATAAATCTTCTTCAACTTCATCTTGATTGACATTTAATGAATCAGGTAATGTTTTTGGTGGAGCAGTGCGACCTTCTGAAAAAATAATACATAGGGAACTAACTATATAAATTAATTTTACAAACACCTAAACAAAAATTTGGCCCATTCATTTGGCTTATTCTACTCAGCTTGAGTGTGGGCACAAAGTTGAATTTTTGATATCTTTTTTTATTACCGAGAAATTTTACTCTTCTGTGATTTTTTGGCTGAGCCGATTTGGTTCAAACTTGGCAGGCAAGTCACACCTTCACTCTAGTTAGGTTACAAAATCTAAAAACAAATTCTGGCCAACCATTTCCATGGCAACTTCAATGATTTTTTTTAATACCTTTGCGCCAAATGTGTCTCACCCTACAATTCTAGGATTAAGTAGCTCATTCTACTCAGCTTGAGTGTGCATAAATTTACTGGTTTGTCTATATTCTTTACCGAGAAACTTGACCTCAAAGTTGGGGTAACTTTTCACCAGTGGCTTTTAACTGCTCTGTGGTTTTTTTGGCTTGGCTGATTTTGTTCATACTTGACAGGCAGGTCACTAATTGAAAAAAAATCTTGCTCACCGCTGCCATGGCAATAGCCAAAAGCAGATTTTTGAATACTTTCGCCCCAAATTTATTACCTCCTACCAGTCTTGTAATAGCAGTGTTCATATGATCATTTTTTTTTTTATTTTGGCTATGATGCACACTGGTCACCGGCACCAACATTGTTACACTGTATCAACGTAATCCCAACAGAACTTTGAACTACTGTAAAAAAGTTAATTATTCACTGGGTTTTAATTTAGCTTATTTCGCTGACTGGAAAATGCGCTAAATTAAAACCCAGTGAATATGTAAAATTGATCATAGAACACATTATCTAAATGATAAAACCGTGAATTTAAAACCCAGTGAAAATTAGTCATTTTACAGTATGAATGAACTGTAAATGCTGCCTTCAATCTAGAAAATACTATTGCAAAACGATTGTAAATAATAAATTTAACAGCAGAATACGTCCTAGCAATACAATAAAGTGACCTCTAAAGACTGAACATTTTTTTGCAAACTTTGTATACAAGGCCCGATTTTAGTCATAAACCAACGTTAACTTCATGTTCATGTCCTACCATGACAATAGCCGAAAACATGATGTTGCTCGTTTTTGAGTGGAGCGGATCGCCAACCAGCCTACCTGCTTGTTTTATACACTGGCTTGGCAATTCCCACCACCAATTAGACCATGTCACAGCATTTCGGCTACTTTTCCAACAAATCCAAAATCACTCGATAATTTTGTTTACTTTACATTTGTACTATGATTACATTTTAAGTTTAATTTTAATGCATACATGTACACTCACAAAAATACCCCCAAAATAAGAGAAATTAGGTATGTTATTTCCATTTTGCAGTATATCATAGACAGTACTTGTATACTTTGTTATCCAGCATAAATATCAGATTGTTCGGAAGCATGAGATTGTAAATTTCGTTCATTAATGTTGTAAGATGACGCTTTCTCTGGGGCCTTCAGAGTCCCATGTTGACTATGTCCCAACCCGTTTACTTACTTGTTGTCAGTGTCTGAGTGGTATATACAAAATATGACCAAGTTAACATCAGAATATTAAAAAACAGAAACCTAAAAATCAGTTGCCCATGCCAAGAGAGCCGCAGAACCAAAACAATCTGTCAGCCGTCGCCGTCCACAGCAGCGATAGGATTTTACACATCGAATTTGAGAATTGCAGGTGTAGACATATTGCATAGAAATGAACACTTACAGCAAGTCTCAGAAGTATTGGGGCAGCCAATTTGCAAACTTGACTGAACGGTTGTGGCTTTTGAATCTTGCTGGCGCCGTCCTGTGGTCACGCCCACTCTGGGTCCCCTAATACTTCTGAGACTTGGAGTAATACATCTATCCCGGCCAGCAATCGAATCATCAATCTTCATGAGTGACGTAACTGGCATTTCCATCTATTTGCTTCTATTCCCACTATCCTAAAACGCTCAAGTGAATGTTGTCAAATTCGCGAGTGTGCGTATTTTCGTACAGTGGCGTAAACATTGCTACAATCAAAGACGCGCTGAACAGAAAGTCAATTCTGGGCTAGTACCATTGCAAAATTCTGGGGAGTAGAGGACTACTTATATGGGAGACGTTACAATAAGGAACTATTAAAATTGTTCGATTTGCATATCAAAATCCTTTATTGGAACAGAGCATGTTCTATATTCACCAAAAAACAAAGTTGTTATGTTTCTAGACACACAACAGACTCGAAACAATAGAAACCGTCCAATCCGAGTGAACTGCGTTCTTGAAACTCAAGTCTTATCGCCCTTGCATTTCCGAGCAAAAAAACGTTGAGGCCAAAAACGACCAATTTTCGCCCAATCTTCTATGATTTTTTCATAATTTAGCTAATTCAGTCCAGCGGTTAGATAGGGTATTTATTAGAGACGCTCGAAGAACCAAAATTTGGGACGTGAATCGTCGAAAATGGCAAAGGGGGGAGGGACTGCATTTCAAAAACATATTTTATATATACGGTATATAACAACGAAAGTTTAAACTTACCAGATACAATTTTCGCCCAATCTTCTATGATTTTTTCATAATTTAGCTAATTCAGTCCAGCGGTTAGATAGGGTATTTATTAGAGACGCTCGAAGAACCAAAATTTGGGACGTGAATCGTCGAAAATGGCAAAGGGGGGAGGGACTGCATTTCAAAAACATATTTTATATATACGGTATATAACAACGAAAGTTTAAACTTACCAGATACAGAGGTGACTACAATGTTGTTTTAGGCACAATTCAGTTGATAAAGTTCATTATTACAATTCTTTGTGAATGTTGTTGCTATATTGACCAGGCAAAATAATACTCATAAACCTTAGAAAGGAGTCATAGTGAACACTATGGTCATAAAGAAGGGAGTCAGAGAAATGCTAAGTTCTAAATCAACAAATTAATGACAGGTAGTGACAAACAATCATTAGAAGTGATAGACATGAAGTCAAAGCTCACCTTCTATTGTCTTTGGGGTACTGGCACTTGCTGGTGGTAAACTAGCTTCTTGACTAAATCTTTGTTCTGGTGTAAGTCTTCCTCTGGAATATCAAAATAAAAAAAAAATTATATAATGAATTTTAACATTTCACAGTCATATTCAAATCCAAATCTATGAAAATATTTTTAAAGAAATGTGACAGTCATATTATTTTGAGAGAAAAAGTAATTATTGTATTGGTATTGAATTAATCAATTCACAATCTTATTTTAATTCTTACATATCATTATCCCAAATTCAAATGACCCATTCATCCCAATTTAAATGAATTCACAATGACATGGACAGTGGTTACTTCAATCCTCCCAGTGTGTCTTGGTGTCACAAGGTTATAATACTCACATCCTCTTCTTGTCCACAACTCTTTTGACTCGGATTGCTCTCTGTTCACTGTAAATTTTACAAACACCTAAACAAAGAATGTGGTGTGAAATATGAATAGCTACTATGTAAATCAATGACTGTATATCTTACTTATTTACATTAATCTTGTACTATAACTTTTGCTTTATAAGGGTCCCCTAACTCTTACACTATATGGGTTCCTAACTCTTGCTCTATATGGGTCCCCTAACTCTTGCACTATATGGGTCCTCTTGCACTATATGGGTCCCCTAACTCTTGCACTATATAGGTCCCCTAACTCTTGCACTATATGGGTCCCCTAACTCTTGCACTATATAGGTCCCCTAACTCTTGCTCTATATGGGTCCCCTAACTCTTGCTCTATATGGGTCCCCTAACTCTTGCTCTATATAGGTCCCCTAACTCTTGCACTATATGGGTCCCCTAACTCTTGCTCTATATGGGTCCCTTAACTCTTGCACTATATAGGTCCCCAAACTCTTGCTCTATATGGACCCCTAACTCTTACACTATATGGACCCCAAACTCTTAATCTATATGGGTCCCCTAACTCTTGCACTATATGGGTCCCCTAACTCTTGCACTATACAAACCTCCTAATTCTTGCACTATATGGGTCCCCTAACTCTTGCACAATACAAACCTCCTAACTCTTGCACTATATGGGTCC